TTTGATAGAGAAGTCAGATCCGGCCCCCTGCTCTTGGCTGCAGTGTGGTCCGCTGGAGGCAGCTGTCCCTCTCTGCCTGCTGGAGCTGTTCGGGCTTTCCTTGCTTCTAAGGCAGGGTCCCCATATACGTGGTCAAGACTCTTCTGACACTTGGGTTTCCAGACTCTGAAGAAAGTTCAGAAGACCCACCAGAGTAGACTACCCTGGCCTGTTTCCTAAAACATGAAAGGACTTGGGTTTTCGCGACCTAGGAAAGTGGTCCTGGCAGGGAGGCCGCTTCTCCTGAGGATGCAGAGGGACCTGGCCCACCAGCCTCGTCTGAGGAGGGGGCTCCAAGTTGGACCTTCGCTAAGCAACTTCATGATCTGCCCATTTCAGAGATAGCCAAGGGCATTCGTGCTCAGCGAAGGGGTGAGCTGGAAGGACTGTGCTGCCTCTTAGCACCCCGGAACCGGGTTGCATCTGGGGGAGATGCTAGAAGGGGTGATGGCCTCAGAAGACAGTCCGAACAGCTTTGCACTAGGCTCCTGCAGGGTATGGATGGTCTCCTCAGGGTGTGGCGGGAAGGCAGCAAGCGTGTGTTAGGTGGGGACCTTTGGGTCTTTGTGAATTTTTCCATGTTTTTGCATAGTTACTAGTCTACTCAGGTGTTCTTACTCGTGAATCAGTTTTCATCTGTGTTTGTCTAGGGAAGCACCCGCTTTACTGGACCGTCAGGTGGGCTAGTCTGGGATTATGCGTGGTTTCCTCATTCAACATTTCTGTCTGTCTCCACGGGCTCTGGTTCCTCCCCCTTTCTCACATCCGCCTGCCTTGGCGTTGTCCTCTTTTGTACTCAGCCTTGCCTGCTTTATTGGTCTTTTCAAAGTTCCAGCATTAGGGCTATCAATTTTATTCTTTCTCTATTATCTCACTTATTGATTTCTGCTTTTATCTTTATCTGTTCTTTCTTCCACTTACCTTAGGCTGATGTGGCTTTTTTGCTGCTTTCATGAATTGAATTAGTTTCATTATTTCTTGTTTGATGATAAAAACATTAAGAGGCATTTTCCCCTAAGTACAACTTTGACCATATCCCATAAATTTTGATGGATGGTTGTTATTTTAGCAAGAGTTTCTAATTGCAGTTTTGTTCTTTGTTTGACTCTAGGGCTTTCTCTTCAAATTTTCAAGTAATATTTGTTTAGACTTAAAAAATTATTATCTCGTTGTATTGCATTATGATCAGATTATGGTTTCTACTTGGGAGAATTTGTTTACTTTTCCCCTTCTGTATAAGATCATTTTTTTTGGTAAATGTTCCTATGAACGTTTGAAAAAAACAGATATTCTGTGGTTGAAGGGTGAAAAAAATTTATATTATCAATATCATTCCATTTTCCTAATTTCATATTTATTATCTAAATTGATATTTGTCAGGATAAACAGTATATTCCTCACATTTTCACCGTGATTTTCGTCAAATTCTGCTTTCATTTCTAAATTTTATTTATATAACTTGATATAATATTGTTCATTATATAAATATTTTTAAACACTAGATCTTCAAAATGAATTTTATATTTTTGATACAAAAATTATCTTGAGCCAGTGAATGGCCTGGTGGTTGAGGCACTGAATCCCACATGGCCTACTCTGCAGTTTGAGTCCTGGACTGGTGGCTTGAAGAACATACTGGGCGTGTGTGCATGTGTGCCCAGAATTCCAAGAGGAGAATGGAGAAGAAGGGGTCCCCCCTGGGGAGTGATTTATCACTTTCCCCCTCTCTCTCTCTCTCTTTCTCTCTCTGTCTCTGTCTCTCTCTGGTGAGCACACACATCCTATGGCAATAAATAAATAAATAAAATAAATAAAAATTGTGGGGGTTTTTTTTGAGATTTTTTTTTTTTTTTTGCTATAAGGCGCGTGCACTTGCCAGAGAGACAGAGAGACAGAGAGCTAGAAAGCGAGAAATCACTCACCAGGGGGGATGGCCACACTGCAGTCCCTTTTCCTCCATTCTCCTCTTGGGATCTTGAGCACATGCGCCCGACGTGAGTTTTAAGCCACTAGGTCTGGGACGTGAACCGTGGTCGACTACATGGGAGTCCAGCGACATAGCCATTATGCTAACTGCTGGTCCCTGATAAAAAATTATTTTTATATCCCCATGGCTTTCACCTTAACTTCTTCGATACTAGTATCTTTGAGATTTGAATTTATTTGGTCTATGTTTGCCATTACCTCTATTTTTAATATGTCTATATCATTATTTTAGGGGTAGTTCTAAATACAACACAGAGTAGATTTTTTTTTTTTTGCATTAATCCTGAAAATCCGTATTTTTAACATTTAACATTATGTGGTGAACACTCAAAGCCCATCCCAGTGGTTATTCTGTAGGGATGTACTGAGCTGTCTGTGATTCTTCACTGGGAGATACAGTTTAAAGACAAACATATTGATTAAAAACCAGGGAACAAACAATGTCATAAATTAA